TAGCATCATAATCTGCATCTTAGAGCTCATCGGTTTCTGCAAGTTACGGGCGGTATTTCCGCTTCAGCATTTGGTGCTGCTGCCATTTCTACAGTGGTGGCGACACAAACACCACATGCTTGGTATTATCTCATCATTATACATTATATTTATTTTTTGTCTGTTTTTGCTACTTCTTATACATTGACTATCGGCAAAATTTAGGACGGGATTGATAATATATACTTTAGCATTTTTTGAATTAGGTACTTTGTAATTATTGAAATCTCAATTTAATTAATTCAGTTAATTTAATTGTTTGACTTTCCATAGGCCTTGGTCTAGTCACTTTTTGGGGACAATCGTCTGTGGTATCAGTTAATAAAGTCTGTTTCTGCATTTGACATTCATAAACTTTTTTTAATTAATTACTTAATCATATATTGATCATTTGTTAGGGTTATCCAAGATTTACAAAACGCTTCCATAAAATATTTGGTTTAGCACTATTATTCGCAGCATGGTAAAAATTATTGTAACCATTCGCATTTACTGTTCTTATTTTCAATTTTCTGATGTATTAAAATCTATAAATTCTTTTGTTATCTTTTTTGTTATCAAAAATTGTAGGGTTAATATTTATCTTGGTGAATATTTAAATAAAATTATTTTATATATAATAGTTTGTAAATTTAATATATTAATCGTTTTATATCGACTTTTAGGAATCGATACATACGCCCTTTCTTACGGCTAGTAAGTACAATACTTTCAATATATTTAGTTTACTACAATGTTCCTCAGTATTATTATTTTCTGATCTAAAAATTTTTTTATCATAAATAGTAACTTACTTGGATGGAAAATTGCATACATAATTTGGATAATAATATTATTTGTTATTGTCTTAAATTTTGAAATCTGGTGGCGTTTTGAAGCAGTTTTTTACCGATTATTCTGTATTAAATATAATACCATTGCCGAAAACAATACGATACATACTTATATTAGTTATGAAGATTATGCTAAATTACCCGATTTTACATGGGAAGAAATTAATGAACGAGTTCAAC